GTGAGGCCTTTTTTTCAACCATTTCCGAAAGATGGGGGCGCGGAAAAAGGCGAGTCCACAAGGAAAAGCCTCCTATGAAGCTCCTACACCAAATATTAAAGCTGTGAGCAAACAGACAAGACATCATAAAAGAAAAGGGTATAAGAGACAGAATGCATACCCTTCTTCAAAGCAGCCCTAGTGACTCTAGGAACAGGAGCAGCAGCAGCAGCAGCAGGAAGTAAGGTAGCAGGAGCAGTGGAGGCAGTAGTAGTGGCCCCAGCCTCCTTGGGCTTAGCATCTAACTGCACCAGTTGATCTTGGAGAGAGATAAAGAGAGTAAATTCAAACTCACCCAAATCTTGTATCAGTTTAAAGGTTGCTTCATCCAACCTGGCTTTGGGCATTTTTAGATCTCTGATTGTAAGATTTGTGTTAGAGAGGCTACAGAGGGGGAAAGAAATCCCTTGAGTAAGCCCAAATTGCCTAGCAAATTGAGAGGGGAAATAAGCCTCAGAGATGCACTTATAGGCTGGAGAGTTCAAAGTTCTAATACAAAGCTCCCTTGGTAGCAAGATGGAGACCTGCATATCTTTGTGCGAAGGCTGGGAACACCTTTTATCAGCCAAAAATGTTCTCAGCCAAGCTGGCCCTTTGCTGGTTTCGAAGGGGCAAAAAAGGGTAAAAGGAGGAGAAATTGGGAGTTGATGGAAAAAAGTGAGATAGTAGGCAAAACTAGAGGGGTATAGGGAAACCCTAGCATATTTTTCTCCATATGTGGTGGGATCCTGCACTAAGAATCTCAAACACCTAGAGTGTAAGTCAGTAAAGTATGCAAAAAGCTAAAGTTGCAATATCTAGAGAGGGCCTCCTTGGTTAACATTTAGAGGTTTCCCACAGAATTGGGAGCAGGCCCTATAAACATAACCTAAAACATAAGGAGCCAAGGCAGTCTTCTTCTTCAAAGCAAAAGCTTTGGCAAAGGGAGCAAATACAGGTATAATCCGTTAAGATGAGGTGTAAAAAAAGAACTTACATAGCCAGTATAAAATAATAAAAAAAAGAACTCTCAGTCCTCTATAAGACCTTCCTTCTTATTCTTAGCCTTTACAAAATCACTGTAGGAAGAGTTCAAGGGTGGAATGGTGAAACTAACCAGAGGGTTTGGATAACCAGGCGTGAAGAGAGCACCAACTGGTGAAAGCCCTAAGAGATGGCAAATATCAAGAACAGTGGGGGCCATCATATCACACCGAAACTGGAAAAAAAAACTTAAAGTTGAGTTCCAAAAACAAAAGGTTGCAAGGATCAAAAAAGGATCTTCAGAAATAACAAACCTGGAGAGACGGAGGGCATCAAGGATGAAGAGCTCTTGTAGGTCCCATTCTCTGGAAGCCACAACTCTGTCATACCATTCCGCCCATTCGACCGTCAATGTGGGCTAGCAGTGGTTGGGTTGATTCATCTTCCAGCTTCCCCAATCAAGCCCCTCTTTGTAGAGAAGGCAGGGATCCTCCAAATGAGAATATAAAGTCAGAAGTTGGGTGGGGGCTTCTTTAAAGATAGGTCCTAGTATGTATTCTTTTTGAGCACTATGGTGAGGAATAAAGAGGCACCCATCTATAGCACTTGGTCCACCAGCTCTAAACTTAGCTATCTCTTCATCAACACATCTCTTCAAGGCCACAGACGGGCTTACACACTCAATAACTGGTACTTTTAAAGAGGAAGACACCATGAGTATGGAGTTGAAGGGAAGGCAAGGAAAACGAGTGTGAGAAAGGTAAGGATTCAAAATAGGCAGCAATGTAGAGTGGGAAATATTGGACAAGTTAGGAGGTTAAAACACGAGAATATGAGGTTTTAAACATTTTTGTCCAAAATTACCCATTTAATAGAATGGGTCAAACAGACCCAAGTTTTAACCCATGTGTGATTAAGGCTTTTATTTTAAGTCCCTGAAAACACAAGAAAAAGAGCTGCCTCCAGGATAGTAAGTGGAAACCTATGAAGGAGGGAAACATATTTCAAATACTCAGCTTGGCTTCGAAAGTAGGTAGTAAGTGTCGAAGCCAGTTTTCAAGTACTTGGAAAAGGGAAGTTGGCTTCGAAGCCAGTCTTATACCTTAAACTCAAGCATAGGTGGGATTTATTTACTTTGAAAATCTTGAAGGTGTGCTTTTAGGCTTTCCATAAAAGGCAAATTCCTTCGAAGGAGTTTTTATAGTATTCTGTGAATAGAATATGGTTTTTGCTTGGTTTTTGGATTTCAGAATAAATAAGCATTGCAAAGCCAGCACTTGGTTAGGTAATGCGAAAATTTTAAAGACCAGAAGACTTACCCATACACCTTTCTACTAAAGTAAGTTCCTTCAAAGACAAATGTTGTCATTTTGAAAAGAAATTACATGTTTCGAAACACTTAAAAATGACTTTGAAGCAAGATTAGTTAGTTCGAAGCTGTTCTTTACACAAATTATATTAACAATACAATTGGAATGTGAAAACCTAAAACAAACACTATCACTCCTATAGGAAATTTCATGATTCGAAGCATTCAAAACTAGGTTTCAAAGCAAGATTGGTTGTTTCGAGGATACTATTCATAGACTATGTAAACAAAGTAAGGAATAGGGTCGCATTAACCATACAGTCGATCATGCAATTGGAATACAAAACCAAATCATGCAAATAAGAGTTGAAGAGCCCAATTGTATTGATATAAAAAATATTTACATTGGAAGGCCTATTTGGCTACAAATTCAATTTCATAATAGTGGGGGATAGAGAGAGTAACAAGTTCATTGAATTTAGTCCAACAGTGCTCTATAAACTTGTGTGCTTTCTTTATCCTATCTTCAATTCTTTCTAAACTAGGTTTTTGTAGTTGATATGCTCTTATTTGGTGGAAAGGTTGTTCAGCCTTCACTTCAAACTCAGTCTCCTTCAAACTCAGTCTCCTTCAAACTTTAATCCATCTTGTCCATATCTACATCATCCCAGTATGCTGAGTCCTTGTTCTTGAAGGCATCATATTCTTCAAGGAAGTTCTCTACTTAATACTGAGTTTGAATTCGATTGGCAGCAATTTCGTCCAATGAGTCATTGGTGGCCAAGGAGTTTTTATGCTAATTAAGTAGAAGAGGGAGCTGGTCCAAGAAGGTATGGAGTTTTGTTTGGGCTATAGGGTTAAGAGCATGACCTCGAGACACAATGTCACAAGCCCATAAGAAGTTCCGATAAGGAACATCCTCTCCAAGGACTTCGAAGGGCAGATGGGAGAAGGTAGCAAGAAAAAGTTGAGCTTTATACTGTTGAAATGTAGTTTGAGGAACTGGAGGTTGATAAGAAGAGAAATGTTGACTCTCAAAGAAAGTAAGTTTCAATTCCTCCATCTAATTAGGATTATGAAGAAGTGGGGGTGCATAAAGGGTCCATCCCAAAAGAAGGAGGAAATTGGGGATCATTCATACACTCCAGTAGTCAGTAGAGCAATATTTTGCCGTCTTAGCCAAGAATGAAGGACTGAACCCCAATGCTTCGATTGGATGAGGGGTCTTTTGCACTATCCTCGTTGGCAAGGAAAAAGTATACCACACTGAAAGCAAATTGTCCTCCAAACAGCGACGACGATCAATGGGTACATAGGGATATACTACTGAACTTCGGGAAAAATGAGGCACCAGTAAAGGATCATCGAATTCGAAAATTCTGTGGTGAATTCGCTCTCTTATTTGAGGCTGAACTGGTGTTGACCAAGCGTCCTAGCCAATATTCCCAATAGAAGAAAATGGAACAACTTCATCCCATGTAGAGATTGTTGGAGCAGATGAAGAGCTTCCAAGATCCATTTGTGCAAATGCTTGGTCCAAAGGTTCGTATGGTGCAAAAGCTTCCATAACTTGTATAAATTAGGCGGATAAGTGTGGCCAGTAAATCCATAAAGGTTCTTTCGAGGACGATTATCATTATCAAACAACTCCTCGAATGCTCAATCAATGTTGGAGAGGGCTTGATTAGTTATTAAAGATGTAAAAGTCCCTTCAAATACCCAGATAGTGGAGGAAATATTCAAGCGTAAGGGAGAATTTAATGAAGTTCAGTGCTTCATTTCTAAGAAAATGGTTACACTTCTAAGATAAACGAGGTGCATGTATGTCCTAGGACGTGGATAGAGTGCATTGATACACTAATATCATCAAGTATTGGATATATTAATGCGGGGGTAATGTTGGCTATATATTTTGTACAGGCCAATTGCAGCTTAACATGTGGCTCATAAAGGATAATTTGGTGAGTTAATGCAAGTCTCCAATCAGAGACGGACACGTGGCAGTTCATATTGGTAATGGTGGGTCTGCATCGCATGGAAGCAGTTTGAAGGTGTAAGATGACATGGCCCAACGGTAACTCACAATTCAAATTCAACAGGAAAGCCCAACTACAAAGAAGGCGTCGTGGGAGCAGATTGTTCGAGCCATAACCAATGATCGTGGAAGGGCATTTCAACAGTTAAAAGTCTATTTCAACGGTTACCATTGGAGAGTATAAATAGAAGAGAATGCCCTAGAATGAAAGACCCAGATTCAGATCCAGAAACCAATCATTTACTTCATATTTTTCTTTCCAGTTCTTTAAATTTCCAGTTCTTCAATTCATGTACTGTACTTTATTTCCTAGTAGTTTCAAGTAGTCGCTGTTGTAAACCTTTTCAAAGTTGGGTCATTTCATTGTAAGTTTTATTTACTTAATGAAATTCAGTTTCTGAACTATTTTTGTATCTGTGATCATTTGAAAGTTTCTCGTAACAAACCACCAGTAAAAGTTTTCTTCATTGAGGTTAAAAGAACTTCAACATAATCGTCTTACAATTGGTTGGCAATTAAAATTTTATAAAAGCTTATTGATCGTTACTAGCACACTTTAATTTACACAATTAACCTTCAAAAGTCAAAAAAGTCAACAAAAGTATAGTAGCGCAAAATGTAATTTGCTCTTAAAAAGAGAAGTGAAATTTTCCAATATTTGTAAATGTAAGTCCCCTCCCGAGCAACCGTGAATAACTGCCATCTCTCTCTTTCTCTCTCACATTCTCAACCAAGTCTTCTTCATTTCATTCTCCCCACAAATCTGAAAATTTCTGGTATATATCGTCAACAAATCTTCTTGTTCAGGACATGAGTACTCCAAATTCTAATAATAAGAGATTAGATTCTGCACCAGACATTTCAGGCGATGATGATGAAACTCAAATCACAATCTCCACCGAAACAACAACAACAACAACCAACCGATTGCCACCACAAGAGATACACCGAGTCTGTTTACCTCCAAACCGAACCACCTTTCAGAAACTCAAACACAGGCTCTCAGAGATGTTCTTCCCAGACGATCCTTTCTACAGATTCAAAAACCAGACTTTGCTCAGAAAATGGGTTCTGGGTTTGCAATATGTCTTCCCTATATTTCAATGGTTTCCCAGTTATAGCATCCAACTCTTCAGATCTGATCTCATCTCTGGTCTCACGATTGCTAGCTTGGCCATTCCACAGGTTAGAAAAAACCAAAAACAAAAACAAAAAAAAAGTGATGAAACCTTATTTTATTTTATTTTTTACGACCTATTTATTTGGATTGAAAATAATTTTCAATTAAAGTTTTGGTTAGAAAATGTTTTCTTATATTTAATTATGACTTTTAAATTAATGTGATAGTAATGTAGTAGTGGTGATTGTAGGGTGGTGGTGTGGTGATAGTAGATGATGATTGTGGTGATAATGATCACCACCAAACATTAAAAAAAAAAAAAAACAAAAGGGGTAAATTATGCTGTCAGTCTCTGTATTTTATATGATGTGTCAATTTGGTCTCTGTAATTTCAATTTGTTCGATTTTGTCTCTTAATTTAATAGATTATGTTATTTTAGTCAAATAAATAACGATTGTTTAATTTAACTGAAGATCAAATAATGTGTCAATTTGGTCATTCTACTTTACACGATGTGTCAATTTGATCCTTATAGTTTTAATTTTCTTGATTTTGACAAGGACTAAATTGACACATTGTTTGGCTTTTCGTTAAATTAACTTAACAATCGTTATTTATTGGACTAAAATGACACAATCCGTTAAATTAAGGGGGCAAAATCAAGCAAATTGAAACTATAGGTACCTAATTGACACATCGTATAAAATACAGGAATTATTTGCATAATTTTCTCCAAAAACAAATAAAAGAATATTTTCTACTACAAAATATTATTTTTTTTCTTTTTGATTCTTGGGGTTCCCATACTGAATGAGTTGTTTCTATTTAATCCACAGTTTGTCTTTTCCATGTTGGTTTTGTCTATTCTTGGGTTATTTGTGAATTGGTTATGTGAAAAAAATTATTAACTATTAATTATTTGTTGACTTCCAAAAAATTTAAGAGCAGAATTTTTCATTTTTTATTTTTCCATTGAGTTTGATTTGTAGGCATAATTACAACCATTCCATGGAGCAAAATGGTAGAGAAAATAATTTGTTGGGTGCTTTTTTATTTCATTTAATTATTCCTTTACAATTAACAAACTTAGACAACTATTGCAAGCCTGGCCATTCTACGGGTGAGAAAAGCCATGAAACTTTTTCTTTTTTATTTTCTTTTTTGTTTCTCGGGAAAATCAGGTTTGTCTGGTTTTGAAATTTGAGTTTACTTACTTGGATTATGCCCCTTGTGGTTGTGGGTAAGCCGGGGTTCTCAGACTAGATGAAGTTGTTTCTATTTTGGTTTTGGCTTTTTCCATGTTGGTTTTGCTATTTGTTAAGTGAAAATAAATGTTAATTATTAATTATCTTTTGGCCTTGTCCTTTGGCTTCTCAATTCAATAGGCTATAGGGGGCAAAAATTAAATATCAATTTTTTTTGATTTATTTTTTCCGAAAGAAGTACTCAATTAATAGGCATAATCACCACCCCAATTCTTGGAAGAAAAATAGAGAAAATAATTTGTTGGGTGCTTATATTTTCATAAATTTTCCTTTACAATTAAAAACATTTTTTTGGTTACTAATTAATCACCTTATCTCCTTCAACGGACATAATATCGAGTTTAAATCTCATTATTGTGTGATGCATGGTTTTATTTTATTTTTTTTCCCTCTTATTCTCCTTCTATTGATTGTAAAAAAAATATATATTAATAAAAAAAATATAAAATAAAAAATAAAATTAAATAATTACATTATCTCATTTTTATCTCCTTCAACAGACATAATATCGAGTTTAAATCTCATTATTGTGTGATGCATGGCTTTATTTTATTTTTTTTCCCTCTTATTCTCCTTCTATTGATTGTAAAAAAAATATATATTAATAAAAAAAATATAAAATAAAAAATAAAATTAAATAATTACATTATCTCATTTTTGTTTCGCAGGGTATTAGTTATGCAAAACTCGCCAATCTTCCACCTATAATCGGAATATGTAAGGTTCTAAATCACTCATTTGTCAAATTTATAATTAGCTAGAAAAGTATACTATATATGAGTAAGATGCAAAAAATATACAGTATATTATTACATTAGGATTTATCAATTAAAACAAAGTGTCTATATCATGACTTTGTTGTTGTTGTTGTTGTTGTTGTTGTTGTTGTTTTGCTTGTTTGTTTGTTTGTTTTTTTTTTTTTTTTTTTTTTTTTTTTTTTTTTTTTTTTTTTTTTTTTTATGAATTGTGCAGATTCAAGCTTTGTGCCACCATTAATATACTCAGTTCTTGGGAGTTCAAGTCATCTTGGGGTTGGGCCAGTGTCAATAGCTTCTCTGGCGATGGGGACAATGCTTGGTGAGATGATATCTCCTATTCTTGAACCAGATCTCTATCTCAGACTTGCTTTCACTTCAACCTTCTTTGCTGGTGTTCTTCAAGCTTCTTTGGGTATATTTAGGTGAGAAAATTCTTTAATTGTCTGCATAGTCATTCATTTAGAATCTGTACGTTTCTAGATGAATTTTCCTCGATTTATTTCCCATCTCTTATGCGAAGAATTAGGATTCTCTATTATGATTTTCTTTGTCATGATTTTGCTCTAATAATCTAACAATTCATATTTAAAGTTGAAATAAAACTACGCCGTTTTAAGTGTTTTGTTTTAAAATTATTTATTTATTTATTTATTTTTGAAAATTGAAACTTAAACAGTTGGATTATATCTTTGCTTCATGTATTTTACTGTAGTAAAAATCACAATAAAATCATGATAGAAAAATCATTGCAGAAGATCCTTCCTCCTATGTGACCCACCATTATTAATTTTTTGAACATGGTGAATCCTACAATTACACATGACATTTTATTATATGAATTCAATAGAAATTAAAAAAAAAAAATGTTTGAAACTCTCAAAAAGTATTGATAATTTTACTCACAATGATATGACAGGATATGTATTAATTTTTAATTTGTTACATACTTAATGATGGTGAGACGAACTCCTATATCACATCATTATAAGTATAAATATATGAATTTTTAACATTACACGCTAAAAAATTGATGAAATCCCCTAATTTGAACAATTACAGACCATACCACCTAGACATTAATCATATTTAGCATCATCAAAAATACTTTGCATTTTTGCAATGAAAAAATATTTATAAATAAGTTTTGGAAAATTAGCGAAACATCCATTTCTAACATCGAGTAGTAATAGACACCCAATATATATATTTTTTTTATTAGCTAAGGTCCTTCGATGAAATTTCTATGGTCATACCAGAGAAATTTTAAAATTTATCTGTGATTTGATAAACTTTAATTTTTTTCTGTGAAATTAGAAAAATTTCTGTGTCTAGACAAATTTCTCTGTGTCAAATTTTCTCTGTGAAAATATTGAGGGACCCCTATTATTGTAAAAATATTGTATGTCTTTTATTTTATAAAATCTTAATACCATAAATCGTTAAAAAGTTCCCCAACAATTTTTTAATACAATTCATACAACGGCTATGCTTAATAGCCCGAATTTTCATGACCCGAATGACTTGAATGTTTCAAAACGACGTCGTATTGAGTATAAAACGACATCGTTTTAATACATTCGAGCCATTCAAAACACGCAAATTCGAGTTATCAAACATTTTTCTTCATACAAAATGATCTATTAGTATCATTTTTATAATTTTGAGGCACAATAGTGAGTTTCTTCTTTTGTAGTAGAAAGATCACACAACACATTATTCTATGTGAAAGTCATATAGAAAAATTATATTTATATAGCATTATTCTTTCGTAACATTATCGAACAAATTTTGGTTCATTTTTGCCAAATCTATCTTTTCTTTAGAAAAGCAAAGTGAATGGTAACTAAAATAAGAACTAAAGTTTTCTAATTATTTAGTTGCTTGCACACCATGTCAAATATGTGCAAAGTTAGAGCATTTCTATCCTATATTTTAAATTTGATATGATACTTTAACAATCATATTTGATATCAAGTATCAACTGTATCTGGTATATCAAAAGCTGGTATATCAAAAGCTCATGTGGCTTTTAGCGGCACTCCTTTATACCAATTTTGATATGAAAACTCCTTGATGTCCATTTTTTGTTTTTTTTCTTTTCTTTTATCTTCAATTAAAGCATCCAACGGCACAATTTGTGACAGATTGTGATTGTCAATCAACCCACATCATGTCATGGCTTTTCTTTTCTTTTTTTATACCAAGGATAGTATTATTTGAAAACGGTAATATTTTTTTATTTTAATAAAAAAAAGCAACCTCTGTGTTGTTGTTACCGGATTTTATTATTATTATTTTTTTTGAAATGAATCTTTGTTACCGTTGTAAACAAAAAAATTAATTAATTTTTTTAATTTAATTTTATTATTTATAAATTTGAAGTTGGGTAATATTTTAAAAATAAATTTATTTTAATTAATAAAATAAAAAGTTTGAATTTTAAAAATAATATAATAATAGATTTGACGTTTCCGGTAGAGAGCTTCCTTGTCAAATTGACATATACCAATTTGTTACTTAAGCCTTCAAAAAAATTTGATGTATAAAATTTTGAAAGTTTGAGTGGAGATGCTTTTAGAATAATTCAGTTTTAGCTAAGAATTTGACACAAAAGATTGTTGAAATCACCAAATTCTCCACATAATTTTTAGGCCATGTTGTAGGATTAAGGGATAAGAAATAAAAATGGCTTTTTCTTCTGTCTGGATATAAGGGGTGGTTTATAATGATTTAAATAAGTGTACTTTTTGACTTTTTACGAAAAGATGTGCAGAAAAGTAGAGAGGTAATGTGATGAAAAAAAGATAAAAAGATGAATTATTTAAGACACCCCAAACAAGGCCTAAGTTTTAGGGAATAATCCAAAATTTCAGATTGTGCCACCTTGACACCTTTGTAAACTAAAAGTTTAAATTTTGTCGAGTCATTAGTTCATTATATTGGGTAATTTTGTTTTGTTTTGTTTTGTTTTGTTTTGTCTTTTTTTTTTTTTTTCACTTGAATCAAATATTAGGTTTGTAATTAGGTGAATAAAATCTTAATCATTAATTTACAAAGAATGTTTGTCAACATTTATGAAAAGATGTACAGAAAAGTGGAGAGGTGATGTGATGGAAAAAAGATAAAAATATGGATTATTTAGGACACCCCAAACAAGGCCTAAGTTTTGGGGAATAATCCAAAATTTCAGATTGTGCCACCTTGACACCTTTGTAAATTAAAAGTTTAAATTTTGTCTAGTCATTAATTCATTAAATATTGGGTAATTTTGTTTTTTTGTTTTTTTACTTGAATCAAATATTAGGTTTGTAATTAGGTGAATAAAATCTTAATCATTAATTTACAAAGAATGTTTGTCAACATAACACATTTGTTGGAGATTTGAACTAGAGACAAGCTGGACTAAGTATTATGTTGGACTTAATTTTTTTGTACAATTAGATAAGCTTATATAACATCATATTATTGTACCATATTTTGTACTATTATATAAAATTTTGAAAGAGGGTGATCAATTAAATGACAAAGGCAAAAGAGAGAAACATATAGAATTGAATCTTTCTACTAATATTTTTTTAAAAAAATTAAAATTTATTAGAGAAGGATTTCTATTACAGGTTAGGTTTCATTATAGATTTTCTGTCAAAGGCAACTCTAATTGGGTTCATGGCTGGAGCAGCTCTGATTGTGTCCCTGCAACAGCTTAAAGGATTGCTTGGAATTGTTCACTTCACTGCCAAGATGCAGTTTATTCCTGTCATGTCCTCTGTTTTCCATCACAAGAATGAGGTTTGAAACTTTAACCAAACTAACGAGAAATAATCTTATGTGCGTAGAAATCGATCACAAAATGTATTTAGTATACACGGATTAAAAAAATTTAAAAGTAAATTTCACTAATAAATTTGGTAAAATTTTATCTATTTATGTACGTGATTATGTGTCTAATTTTGTGATAAATTTGTGTTCATAACAAAATTGATTATGAAGCTCTAATTAATGTACTTAGCTAACAAAATTGACATGTAAATAGGTATAGTCTAATTTACATAGACTCGGGTATGAGTATCAGCTGTAAGCATGTTTTTAAGTGTCTAATTTATCTAACTCTCATGTCCAAAAATATGAGAACACAAAAAAATATTCATATTTCTTACACATATTTCTTATTTTCTATAGTAAAATAATGGTTAATTACATTTATATTTTTATCAAATATCACTTTGTCCTTTTTATTTGTAATTATGACAACCAACTCTATAACTTCTTGCGCTTTAAATAAAATTGCAATATCATATTTTTGTTCACTTGTTAATGAGGTTGATAAAAATTCACACTAATAACATATTTTTTTTAGGGCATATACATAAGAATTTTCACCCAAATATTCTACTCTATTCTCTTCACTTTTACAAAAATCTCACATTGATTCCTTTATTTATGTTCCTATATTTTTACTAAAATCTTACTTTAGTCACTTCATTTTCATTAAAATTTCCCTTTAATCCTCTTATTTTTAATTATGCCATTGGAAAAATGTGACGTGTGGATCATGTCGCTTTCGTCATCCTCATTAATAACATATCAATGAAAGGGTAAGTTTAATAATGGGTTGATTGACTATTACCTTTGAAAATAAAGGGCACAAAGTAGAATTTTGATGAAAATGTAAGGTGCTAAGGTTTCGGTTTGTTTCAACGTAAAGTATTTTACACAAAAAAAAATATTTTTCTTGTAAATTAATTTTACATAAAAAAAATGTTTTTGTTTTTGTTTTTCGGCATTTGGTTGATACTTGAAACAAAAATATTTTATTATTAAAAGTGAAATTTTGATTCAATAAAGTACCATTTATGACTTTTTAGTGAGCTAAAATATATTTATTTGAAAATATTAAATGTGTTGAAAAGTTAATGAATGAGAGTCAACTTTATAAAAATTGACTTACGAAATGTTTAAAGGTAAGTAATTTTTGAGAAAATGATGCAAAAATATTTTTTTAAAAAAATATTTTACTTACATTTTATTAAACCAAACAATAGAAAATGAGTAAAATAATTTTGACGAAAATATTTTACGTCAAAATAAACGAACCCTAAGTATATAATTAACTTGCAAAATAAAGTTCATGATGCGCCATATAGCATTTGATGCAGAATTTCGAGGTTTTGTACATAGTTCTATAACTAACTTGAATTACTAGCACTGTGAGTAGATCATGAATTTAATTAGAAATTTAAAAAAGAAAATAGAAATAGAGAAAAAAATTTAACCTATGTTGTATTCATATTCTCCTAACCTATCTTTTCTTTTTAAAATTTCTACCTAAATTTATGATCTAAACATAACATAACTATACTAGTAGTAATAATTGAATTTCTAAGGTAAGATACATATCTCATACCCAGGTGTTTCACCCAAAGAATTCATTCATTTATATTTTGTTTGTTTTATTGGAATGTAATGGAATATAATGATTCTTCCATCATAATTTTCATTTTCACGTTTGATTCTCTAAAAAAAGATATATTACCAATTAAATTATCATTCACCATTCAGTTGTATTAGGAGCACATAAATCAATCACAACACCTTATATTTGGTTTTGTGATATACATTTTTAGACTTTTTATGTATAATAATAAGGGAATAATTATTTCATAAACATTAAAAAATGATCAATTTTATTTTATTTCATTTTAATAAACCAAAATATTGGTGTTGAGGTTATTCTGCAACTTTGGATGTGCAGTGGTCTTTGCAAACAATGACAATGGGATTCAGTTTCCTAATATTTCTACTGGCAGCAAGACAAATTGTGAGCTGTACTATCTCTTCTGAATTTTTTTTCTTAAGTTCGCATTGTATTTTTTTTTTTATTGTTTTTTTTGGTTGGTAAATTATGTTTTCCATTATTGAATTTTACCAAAATTTTACTTTGATCCATCATCTTCTAATTTTTACTGTACGAGCACAAAATAATCTTCTCGTATAATCTTGTTGATCAAGTTTGCACTCCTCCAAACGTCGTCACTTTACTCCCTGAAAACACAAACGTGAGGTAGTCGGCGGGTGTGTGCCGGATATCTCTCCGATGCCTAAGTCAGCAAAATAGACAAAAGCTCTGTGTATTTCGAGAATCAAAGTTGTGTTACCTGTACTTAGATTATGTTGTGAGTTTTTATAGGTTCTGCATGGCACAATACTAGTAGGACTCTTATTCCTCCGTTTGAGTCCTCCTAGGAATCACATTCTTGAAAGAGAATGCTTATCCTTCAACACCTCCCTCACTTCTTCAACCAAGTAAGATGATTTTACCTCGATTGGATGACAACATGACCGAGCTAACACTATCTCTTTGCCATGCTAAAGCGGCAAATTTGACCGAGCTCCAACTAGCTCGGTTCTTTCCTTCATTGCTTGTACCTCGGTTTGGCATACTCTAGCTGGGCTAATTACTTAAGACCGAGCTAACTATGCTGAACGGCATCCTTATCTCAACTCGACTATGTGTGATGTTTAGCTCGGTCCAAACCTCAACTAGGCCCAACTAGTTAGCTCTTAGACCGAGCTATATCATCTCTTACCCCAGCCCATTGTGCGGCCCAACTTACAAAGAAGGCAATTCCTTAACTCGGCCCAATTTATTTATAAATTACCTTCTCAATTGCCCCTTAATTCCATCTGCACAGCATGATTTGGGATTACTCTCCTCTAGCCGAGCTAAAAGCAGTCAAGCCAACCGAGGTCACTCCCCACCGGGCTGCCGGCTAGTCCGGTTTATAACGTCCTTTTAGTCTGTACATCTGAACTGTTTCCTATTCGCATGGACACGTGGTTGGCTCCCATTAGTCAAGTACAACTGTCTGCGCCGCCCTCGTACTCCGAAAAATTTGAACAGTCCCGCATTTTCTTTGCCTTATACGAAAACCCTAGTTTTCGAACTTGGCATTCCTACTGTTCACCTTCACACTCTTCCTCTAAACCTCCATTTTCATAGCTACAGCTCTTGCGAATCTTGTGTTCTTCCTTGCGGCCTCAATCTTCATCCTCTCATCTTCAAACTATAAGTAACTCGATCCCATTTCCTTTTTGTTTGCATAGTTTCTGAAGTATGTAGCATAATACTCGTATGTTTCTCAAAACACACACACTATTTTAGCTTCCATTTCTCTGGGAAAAAACCGTGTAATAGAACCACTAGATTCACGAACAATCTGAGAAACGACGCTTTTGATCCAAAATAATCCAACCGAACTAGGATCTTGTTTGTATTAGGTGCAAGCCTAGCCAAACTGGATAACTCTTCTAACAACCAGACTAAAACTTCATGTCATACCTGTAGTTTCAATCGGTCTAAGAACCTTCTGTTTCATTTAGCCGACCTAGAGAACTGTATTAGGTTTGCGCACTACCGCACTAGAAAGCCTTAACCAACGACCGAGCTATAACTTAGGGCCAAACCAGCTCTCTAACTTAGTCAAAACCGAACTAAAAATGCTGCACCCTAAGCTTCAACCGGGCTACGAACCTCTCGTTTACTTAACCGGGCTAAAGTCCTTCGCTTCAACCGAGCCAAGGACGGATAGTAGCCCACGTAGCCGAGCTAGAACTCCATTTATTTTGCCTTTGTTTCTTTTAGCACGGTTCAACGATCTGTGCTTAACACTTTTCCTTTTCACTTTGCAGATTGACTTAGGTTGGCTAAACACACCTTTGCACGCTCAACAGAGATACTGAAGGTCATCTCAACACCGAGCTAAATTATACATAATTTAAGGCCACATGGGGAAGTATCGATTTTTAGTGAACTCTCCAGGGGCCATAGCCGAGTTCCGAAAGGATTAACAAATTCCAGATGACGTCCACCTCTCACCAGCCGAGCTAGACACAACTCCATGGGGAAAACCGGGCTTCATTCCCTTCACTGTCCTGTCCATTGTAGAAGCCGGACTCCGATTCCCCGTTCAACCTCTTCTTTGTGAATTCCTGAGGCAAACTAGTATATGCCAAACCCAGCTCAGTACCAATTCTTACAGAATAATAAATGGTATTGCCGAGCTAAACCGCCGGCTTGGCCTTAACCTCGGTCTAGCCGAGTTATTCCACCAATATTCATTAGGCCAAAACAAAGACGGCTGGGTATATTATTTAAGAATAAGACGCCGCCGAGAAAAAATAATAAAAAACACCCCAGATAAAGATGTAAACGATAACGACTTTTTCTGGTTCTCTGGTAACTTCGAAGATCAGGAAGCCCAAATACCAGGAGACCGGATTAATTGGAATAAAGGAGTAGCCGGTATAATTACCTCGGCTTAGTTTTGTGCTTTCTTTACTCTGTTTATAAGTTTGGCACCGTGCTAACCGTTGCTTTCTTTTTATGCAGATTTGAACCATCTAAAGTCGTAGTATAGTTATTCCAACCTAGACGCACTCCGCGCCGCGCTTCGATATCGCGAACGAGGTTGGGCCCAGCTACTCAATTTCGAATCGACACATAGATACAGCAGCATGAGGAAGACTAGGGTGACAGATTTCCTTCTGGAACCCTCTCCTGAACCAGATCCAACACTACCTCAAATCAATCTAATCTCATTAACTGCAGAACAAGAAATGACCAAGAAGAGAGCAGTAAGGGCCCTCGTCACCGAAACAAATCAGGCCGAGGTACCACAAGCCGGCCAAACACAAGAGGTCATAGTAGCCCTTCCAACCGCTCAGCCTTCATCATCTCGAGCAAGCAAGCGTGCTCGGACTTCCACAACCGAGCCACACCTTGTTGACGAGGACAAAACCGTGCTTCCCCAAACCACACCACCGAGCCCACAACCTGAGCGCTCAGACCGAGCTAGCTCCTCTGAGTGGGTACCAAAGATCACTTACAAGAACCGCGCTATTACTAACACTGATTCGGTGGTCGCAGAGAAAGACCATTCGCTAGCTTTTAACCCGCCAAGAGCGTATGCCTGCCAACCGACATGGAACACCACGGCCACCTCACCTAGCTAAAGGCCATTCGCTCGGCAACAAAATCGACGATGCTGATAAGTTCTCCCTTTGCCTGTCTTTCTAATTTATACATCTGTTTGCTCGGTTTTACCAAAAGTTTCTTATTGCCCTTTTGCAGGCCATGCAAAAAAACCACATCGCTCACAAGCGTGTATTGGAACTGCGCAAGAAAACAAGGCAGGCCGTGGTAGAGGCCAATGCTAAATCAGCCGAGCTAGAAGAGTCTAAGAAGAAAATAGCCGAGCTCCACACCGAGATGGCCTGCCTGACCGGTCTCTTCAGCTCGGCTAAAGCAGATAAGCAAAAGGCTGCGACCGAGTTAAAAGACAAATGTCTGTGCGAGCTGGCCAAGCTTGAGAGAAAGAAGAATGCTGAGATCGGCCGGTTAGAGAAGAGCGTGGAAGACGCTGAAGACCGGGGTTACAAGGAGAGGGAGGCCACTTACATCCAACGATGCGAAGCCGCCAAAGATATATTCTTCAAATGTGGATGGAAGGTGGCTGTGGCCAAGCTTAGTCATGGCCAAGAGACCGAGGTCTTCCAAAACCCTCATCCACATTTCATACCGAGCTACATGGTGGAGTATGCTACTGCCATTTAGCAAAAATTTCTTCAAGAAGGGGAGGACGAGGATCCTGCTCCTGAAGACAACGCCCAGCCCAGTTGCCATTCTACCTCTTCTATTCCAGTGGTCTCCATCCCACCTTCACCTGTTGCGACTATCGTGGTGCCTTCGACCAAGCTCAACCAAGGTGTGCTTGCCACAACCAAGTTACCTTTGGGTGAAACCCGGGTTGATTTGGACGCCGACTTGGAAGACCTTTTCTCTTGATTTTTCTTTTTCTTGTTTAACAAAAAAAGCTTGTAACCGGGTTGAGGCCCCACCTTTTATACTTCTGATTTGGATTTTGAATGAAAATCTTCTTCTTTTTGTTCGGTATGTTCCATACTTGCACTTATTTTTCAATTATAATTTGTATTCAGTAGAACATTTTCTGGCTGAGATATCTATCTTGGTCCTAACCTTGTAATCTGTTTGGTCAAACTTGCCAACCTTTTCAGCCTAGATCCTTATCTCAGCTGAAGAGTACTAAAAATTGGTTATTCCAGCCAACCACTCTTCTGCTTAGATCCTTATCTCGGCTGAGGAGTACTTAAAGTTGGTTATTCCAGCCAACCACTCTTCAGCCTAAATCCTGATCTCAGCTAAAGAGAGATAAGTGTTGGTTTTTCCAGCCAACCTCTTCAGCCTAAATCCTGATCTCGGTTGAAGAGGGCTTAGTGTTGGTTATTCCTGCCAATCTAGAGCCAAGCGTTTGATTATTCCTGCCAAACCTGTTCAGCCTAGATCCTGATCTCGGTTGAAGAGAAGTAAGTGTTGGCTTTTCCAGCCAACCTCTTCAGCCTAAATCCTGATCTTGGCTGAAGATAGCTCAGTGTTGGTTATTCCTGCCAACCTAGAGCCAAGTGTTTGGTTATTCCTGCCAACCCTCTTCAGCTTAGATCCTGATCTCGGCTGAAGAGAAGTAAGTGTTGGTTTTTTCAGCCAACCTCTTCAGCCTAGATCCTGATCTTGGCTGAAGAGAGCTCAGTGTTTGGTTATTCCTGCCAACCTAGAGCCAAATGTTTGGTTATTCCTGTCAAACCTCTTCAGCCTAGATCCTAATCTCGGCTGAAGAGAAGTAAGTGTTGATTTTTCCAGCCAACCTCTTCAGCCTAGATCCTGATATCGGCTGAAGAGAGCTCAAAGTTGGTTATTCCGGCCAACTCTGATTTCATTGCCCCTAGCTCACTAAAACTTCTTTTACAGAAGAAAACAATTATGCTAAAAAGGAAACTACTTGTTTTACTGAAAAAAGAAAAACTACAAGTATGCTAAAGAAAAGCTAAAAATAAAATAGTTTGAGATTGGCAGTGTTCCATGGCCTGGGAATGGCCTTGTTGTCTCTATCTTCCAAGTGGTATGCCCCTTTTCCTGCCAATCCAACCACTTTGTAAGGTCATTCCCAATTAGCCCCTAACTTGCCATCTCCGGGTACCAAGGTGTTTTCTATTACTTTGCGCAGCACCCAATCTCCAATCTTGAATTGTCTCGGATGTACTGTCTTGTTATATTTTCTGGATAACTCTTGCTGATATGAGGCGATGTGAACCAGTGCTCTTTCTCTTCTCTCTTCCGTAAGGTCGAGTTCCAAGGCTATGACTTCTCCATTTAAATTTGTGTCAAATTTTTCACTTCTAATAGTGGGAAGGCCAACTTCCAGTGGGATTACTGCTTCCATGCCATAGGCTAGGGAAAAAAGGTGTTTCTCCAGTTGACTGCCGAGGTGTGGTACAGTAAGCCCATAAAACATGAGAGAACTCCTCAGCCCACTTGCCTTTTGCTTTCTCCAGTCTTTTCTTTAATCCATCTAAGACGACTTTGTTTGATGCTTCTGCCTGGCCATTTGCTTGGGGGTATGCTGGTGTAGAGTTGTAGAATTCTATCTTGTACTCCTCACAAAAGCTTCTAAAAATTTTGCCATCAAACTGAGTGTCATTGTCTAATATTAGAGCCTTGGGTATGCCGAACCGAGTGATGATTTTTTGCCAAACGAACTTTTTCACATCATTCTCCTTTATTGAGGCGAGTGTTTCTGCTTCCACCCACTTTGTAAAGTAGTTTGTTACTGCGAGAAAGAACTTTCTGTTGCCGGGTGCCATTGGAAGTAGTCCTACTATGTCCAGGCCCCACATTGTGAAGGGCCATGAGCTAGTTAAAGGTAGAAGCTCTCTAGCTGGTTGATGTATTTGGTGTGCGAAGTTCTGACATTTCTTGCACTTCTTCACATACTTCTCTGAATCTGCTTACATGTAAGGCCACCAATATCCTTGTGAAATTGCTCTGTAGGCCAAAGATTTTCCTCCTTGGTGGCTTCCGCATACGCTTTCGTGTATCTCGAACAAGAAAGCCTCGACCTTGCTAGGATGGACACATTTCAAGTAAGATCCTGTGAAGGATTTTTTGTACAAGGCCATTGATGGGTAGAGCCAAAATCATTGTGACTTTGCTTTGATCTTGTTGGCTTCTTTCTTCTCTTTAGGTAAGACGTCGTCTTTTAAGAATACTATAATGGGATCCATCCATGAAGGGCCTAATTCGGCGCAACATACCTCAGCTACTTCGGGTTCTTCGATGCTCGGTTTTGGTAGGTAGTCGATCAGTAACGGATGTGGGATGGATGTATCCGCCATACTAGCGAAGCCTGCTAGTTCGTCTGCTCTACTATTTTCTTCTCTGCCGATCTGCTCTATTCGCACTACTTCGAATTTCATGATTTCCCTTCTGACTAACTCTTGGTACTTAGTCATCCTCTCATCTTTCGCCTCGTAGTCGCCTGAAATCTGGTTTACTACCAGCTGGGAGTCACTATAAACCATTAGCTCGGTGGCTTTCATGAAGAGTGCTGATTTTAGGCCTGTTAAAAGCGCTTCATACTCCGCTTCGTTGTTTGATGCTGGGAAGCCAAGGTTGACTGCTTATTCTACTAGTAGGCCATCTGGTGAGATGAAAACTATACCAAGTCCTGCACCGTGCCTATTGGATGTTCCATCCACAAAGAGCTTCCACATTTCTCCAACGAATAGCTTCCAGCAAGTGAAAGGGTCGGATGAAGTCTTGGGGTCATACGTGTTGCTAATGATTTCTTCTGAGTTCATGCCTGCAGTTGGGTTCTGCTCTTCACTGTCTGACTGCCCCAAGTTTTTACCGGGAGTGGCATGGTTTATTCCTTTCTTCTGATCCTTAAGCTTGTGTAGTTTGCAATGTAGTTAGGTATCTGGTATTAGGGATTGCGCATTTCCTGTGGCACTTTTCGTCCCATTTCAGTTGCACCAGTTAAGTCAACTGGGCAGATGTGATGACTTCTTGGTGTGAACTCTGCCACAAAGTTTGCCAAAGCTTGAGCTTTTATTGCGGTTCTAGGTTTAAACTTGATATCAAATTGTCCCAATTTCACCGCCCACTTCAAGATTCGCTCAGAAAAGTTCGCCCTTTCAAATAAAGCTTTTAATGGAAAAGCTGTTAGGACGATTATGGTGTGGACGTAGAAGTAATGCGACAGCTTCCTTAAGCCTATCATCAAGGCTAAGGCCAGTTTTTCCAATGGTAAGTATCTGGTTTCTACGCCCAGCAAGGTCTTGCTAACATAAAAGATGAGCAGGTGTTGGATTCCTTCCGCTTTGACCAACACTGCGCTGACTGCATGCTGTGAAACTACTAGGTACAGAAAGAGCTCTTCTCCAGGTATTGGGGTTACTAGCAACGGTGGAGAAGACATGTACTCTTTCAGGCTTTATAGGGTGCGATCGCATTCTTCATCCCACTCAAACTTGGCCTTTAATGCTTGGAAAAATAGTCGACATCTGTCTGACGACCGACTTATGAACCGGTTGAGCGCAGCTGCTAGGCTAGTGAGATGGTTTTACCTCGGTTGGATGACAACATGACCGAGCTAACACTATCTCTTTGCCATGCTAAAGCGGCAGATTTGACCGAGCTCCAACTAGCTCGGTTCTTCCTTTCATTGCTTGTACCTCGGTTTGGTATACTCTAGCTGGGCTAATTACTTAAGACCGAGCTAACTATGCTGAACGGCGTCCTTATCTCAGCCCAACTATGTATGATGCTTAGCTCGGTTTGAACCTCAACTAGGCTCAACTAGTTAGCCCTTAGACCGAGCTATATCATTTCTTATCCCGGCCCATTGTGCGGCCCAACTTACAAAGAAGACAATTCCTTAGTTCGACCCAATTTATTTATAAAATATCCTCTCATCTACAATTAAGTCTTTACACTCTAACTTGGTTTTCATATAATCATTCAGTCACTCCACTGTTTCAACTTTGAGTAAAAATTAAAATAGAAAAGATCAAAATGAAACTTTAGTAAAAATTGATGGTAAAACGTGTAATTAATTATATATGTTTTTTCTTTTCTCTTTAATGTCCTAAAATGTGTTCACGTGGCTCTCGTATAAGCATTTTCTATCCAAATTTGTAACGGCAAGGTGACATGAGGACTATACTGAAACATGAGACAGAACTTAAAACTTAATTATAATTAAAAAATGAGAACTTAAAGTAAAACTTGAAGGTAAAATTTAAATTTCTTTTTATTAGATCAAAACAAATTTCAACATTTTTTTTTTTTTTTGATGAACTACTGTTTAGAGCTTGATGAAACCAAAGCTATTCTGGGTTTCGGCAGCCGCGCCATTAACATCGGTCATTGTGTCAACTTTTCTGGTCTTCTTTCTCGGACCTAACGCACAAAGTATTTCACAAGTAAGTTCGATTCTGTTTTTTTTTTTTATTTTTTTTTTTATTTTTTTATTGTTTTGTTGTGGTTTTTATTTTTATTTTTATTTTTATTTTTGTGTTTCATGTTTTGGAAATAAATTAGTTTTAAATCTTTTTAGGAAAAATTACTTCCTTACTCCTGTACTGTATCACTTTATCCTGGAGTTTTTTTTTTTAAATCAATCTTTTAGATTTTAAGGGCATGTTTGGTTGGATAGATTAGAACATGTGATTGAGATTATTAATTCGTAGGCTTAATTATTCTATATTTGTTTTAACATTTTGGTTTAAGATAATTAATCTATTGGATAATTAATTCAACAAATTTGTAGGATTATTAGTAATGGGGTAGGGGTGACATTATTAATCCAATTGGATAGTGAATATCACACTAATTTAATAGGATTATTAATACTTCACTATTAGTTTTGTAAATCAAACATGACCTAAGGGTGTGTTTGTTTTGAAGGATTATGGGGTGGGATTGGACTATTAGTCCCACCGGACTAATAGTCTATTGTTTGTTTAATTTTTTTTGCTTCAGACTAATAGTTTTCCCGAACTATTAGTCCCACAAATATGGGACTATCCTATCCCATGGGGGGCGTGTGATAGAAACCATGGGATTAGTATCCCATTGGATTATTTTGTGAAATATCAATTTTACCTGCCATGCTATTGCTTAGCAAACAATTAGAAAATGATAAAATAGTCTTTTAAACATTTATAAATTATTTTTTTAGTGTTGTTAATTTAAAATTATATATTAAATAAAAATTTTTAATTATAAATTATGGCCTTACAAATTAAATTTTTTTAGTGTTGTTAAAAGATTAAATTTAAATATTAAATTAAATTATTTTTTTAGTGTTGTTAATTTAAAATTATATATTAAATAAAAAATTATAAATTAAATTTATTTAAAAATAATAAATTATAAATTATGGCCTTATAAATTAAATTTTTTTAGTGTTGTTGAAAATTTAATTTATATATTAAATAAAATTATTTTTTATTGTCGTTAATTTTAAATTATATATTAAATAAAAATAAAAATTATAAATTATAAATTTAATTTAATTGAAAATAATAAATTAAAATAATTAAAATATTGTGCAAAAAATAAAATAAAACAAATTTTTATTTAATCTAGCTAAAAATAATTAAAATATTAAAGCTATGTTTAATATTGCTATTACTTAGTAAATAATTAAAAAAGATAAAATAGTCATTTGAGCATTTATCCTTCTTCATAATATGCCAAACAAACATTGGATAACTAAAAATAGTTCAATCCAGACATTTAATCCCATGACTAAATAAACATAAGATACAAATTTAGTCCAATTAAAATCCAATTAAATAATCTCGAGACAATGTATTCCAAAACTAATAGTCTGATGAATTACAATTTTTTCTTATTCAGTCCGTCTAAACAAATGCACCCTAAGTGAAATTAAAATCTGGCCTCGTCGTTAACGTTGTTTTGAAAATCAACAAAGAGACTAGGGTGACGGGTTTGAAATGAGATTTTGATAAAGGTAGAAAGATATTAAGAACTAAAGTGAATGAAGTAAAAAGAGATATTAGTAAAAAAGTACAGGGAAACTAATGTAATTAATTATCGTGTGGTTGTTCATCATTAGTTTTGAAACGATCAATGGATCCAATTGCAACTTCACTTATTTGGTTGGGGAATTTAAGAAGGGATTTAAAAAGGAAAAGGAAAAAGGTGTGTGACACTAGGTGAAATGTAGATATATTTTATTCACATTTCACCTAATTTTTCTTTTTCCCTGTCCAATCCCCTCCTCAAACCCCCCTACCAAACACAGCGGTAAACTTTGGGAATTTGATTGGGACAATTAAAGATTAGGGGGCAAATAGTTTTAAAGCAGAAGAGTGCAAAATAAGTGAAATTTACACATCTTTTTACCCTAAGTTTCATGCTTTTGATATAATTAAATTGATTTTCCCTTCAAGATTTTAATTCATATAATACTTACGCATTTTTTCATTAGTAATTCGTTAATTAGTCGTATGAATAAAAAAATGATGTTCTCATTTTTTTCCTACTAGAGTGTATATTTATATTTGTTTGTTTCAATGTTTACTTATAATGACATTAGTTTCCAGCTTTAACTATACTAAAAGAAAGTTTAGAGTAATTATGTCACAGGTAAAGGATTGATTGTATGAATAATACTTGGGACCCTCTTTTGGGGGTCACCCCTCACCCCCTTTGTCACGTGGCAGGTGGTGATTGGAGGAGCAGGAAAAAAAAAAAAAAAAATGTAACCAATGAGAGAGAGAGGGGGTCAAAGGGGGTGGGAGGAAAAGGGGGGATGAATCATTGTTGTTGATTGTATTTTGTCTAAATTTCAAAGGAGGTGAGTGTAATTTATCTCTTTATTTTGTGCGAAAATAGTTTGTAAAAAATTTGAAAACAATGTTTGGCTGTTTTTTGTTTTGGAAAAATTTCTTTAAAGTTGTTTTTGAAAAGTCAAATTTCATCTTGCATCCTAGTATTTTACACCGAATTTCACTTTGTCTCTTGATCTTTTACGGATAAATTACACTTCGCGCCCTTGCATTTTATACGTAATTTCACTTTGCCCTTGACATTTAAAAAGTGACAATCAATGCCTCATATTTTTAGTTAAGTTCCAATCTAACCTATTTGTTAACCCACGTTAGATGAATACATAAAAAAAAAAAAAAAAAAAACCTTTAAGAAATAAGAAATCGATACTTTTTAACAAAGTAAAAAAGAAAAAGAAAAAATGAAAAACAGAGAAGGTAATCAACACCTATTAACAAAGTAAACAAAAATGTAGAGTAATCAACATTTGTTAACAAAGTAAACCAAAAAACAAAAGTAACTAATAATTTTTAAGTCCAAAAAGTTATAAAAAAAAAAAATTATTCACATTTTTATGTCAAAAAATAAAAAATAAATAAAAAGAATATTAATTAATACTTTCTTCTTACCGCATGTTGTGCTTTGTTTTTGTGTATAAAAAAATGAAGAAATATGTTTACATATAAGCATTACAAAGTGCAGTATTGCCCTTGAAAGCCACGTGATTTAAGGTGGGTTAACAAACGGATTAGATTGGAATTTGACTAAAAATTTGAGGGGTTGATTGTCACTTTTTAAAAGTCAAAAATTTAAGTGAGACTTACTGTAAAGTATAGTGGTGCTAAGTACAATTTTCCTATCTTTTAATTGACTTAGGACTCGTTTGGGAACATATTTTTTAGTAATTTTTTGACTTTTTGACTAAAATGTAATGTAAAAAAAACTAATATGTTTGAGATGATTTTTTAGTTTTTTATGAAAAGATGTGCAAAAAGTAGAGAGAAAAGAGAATCTTTAACTTTTTAGTATGGGTTATTGACTTTTTTGTTTTTTTAGAAACTTTTTGACTTTTTAACTAAAAGCGACACTTGCCAAACAAGGCCTTAGTTTTTTTTTGATCAGTAAAGAAAAAATTTCATTGAAACATGAAATTTAAAGGTACAAAGAAAAAAAAACGCATTGAGAGAGATTCGAAGAGTAAAAACTCACTCTCCTACTACTGCTACTCGGATCTTTACAACCAACCCCTTAGTCTCACGATTTTATATTTTAAAAGACAAATAAAACAACAATTCAAACTCTTGAGCCCCACACCTAAAACACTAATACACAAATAAAACCCACCTGCCTCGAAAACAAAACCCCACGCTTGACTTGAAAACCCCATGCCTGACCCGAACACCCTGCACCAATGCTGGACACTCAGGCTTCATTGCTGCCTAGAACCACCCGTGACTGCAATACCTGCTGGTTTCTCCTCCTTGACTCAACAAATTCCTTGCTCTCGACTTCAACCCCGTCGGGAATGCTACTGGTGCCTCCTCTGTTGCTGCTGCAGCCTCCTCCTATGGTTTTACTTTAGCATCCACTGGCTCTGCCACTGGGAATGGAGCTGCTGGTGCTGTCGCCACGCTTTTACCCTGAAAACCCAAATTTCCATCTTAAACTTATCCCACGGTTTTCGTCGCCCAAACAACTCCCTCGGTTGATCCTCACCAACAACGTTGAGCAATCCCCTCTTTGTAGACCCGGCGCCATTCTCCTCTTAACCGAACACAAACACCGACCACCATAGAATTGAACGGAATTCACCCCTCAAACTCCCACTCGCACAGGAGCGCTCGAATGAAGATCCTAAATAACTTTGGATCCTCCACCCCCCTCAAACTCCCGCTCATACAGAAGTGCCCGAATGAAGTTCTTGAACCAACCCACCCATGATCAACGCAACCACCCTAAACCGAAACCCATGGCCGAAGCTGAACACCATGGCCGAAGCACCACTTCCACCGAACCTCTTCATTCGAGAAAAAAAAAACTCACCAAAACCACCTATCAAAGCTTCCAAAAACACCAAAACCCACAGAGTGAAGACCCACCAAGCTTATAGACCGCCGGATAAAGATAGATTTAAAACCACCCAAGGAATACTTAGCTAAAAACCCCAAAGAATACCTGTGAAAACAAGCATCCTATACAAAGACGAAAGGACTTAAACAGCATCCTAAGCAAATCTAGAGATTAGATCTGAAAAGGAAAAAACGGAAAACAAATGGGGGCTCAAGATTATTAGGAGAAAAAACATGAACACAAGAAAAGAAAGCTAGGCCAGCCAACCGCCATGGCCAAAGGCGCCGACTGGCTGGCCAGAAATGAGGCTCGAGATGGAGGTTTTTTGGAGAGCGTTTTTTATGGATAGTTGAATAAAAAAATTCATGTCCACATCTTTAATCCTGCTGAGAGATTTGATATATATATATATATATATACATGAAAGGGTAATATTAACCCAAAAAAAAAACAAAAACATATTTGTTTGTCCTACATGAAGTAAGCATCTCCTACTAAGGGGGTTTATGAAGTAAAAAATTTTGGACCATCTCTTTCACTAGAAAAGGGCTCA